GCTACTAGGGAGGCTAAGGTAGGAGGATAGCTTGAGGCCAAGAATTTGAGGTTGCTGTGAGCAATGACATCACCACACTCGAATCAAGCGTGACAGAGTAAGTGTCTCTAGAAGAAAGAACAAAAGTAATTATTTATTTTTACTAGGTATGTTAACAGTGTTTTCCATAAAATTTTTTGAAATTATTAGATGTAGTTAGTGTAATACTTACAAACTAAATAACATGATGTGTTATATTGACTTTATAACATGTGATGAGGTCACCGAAGTTGGTTTTTTCCAAGTAAAGGCAAGATGATAAAAATTTTGAAATCAGGCAGCACCTGGGGCTCAGTGAGTAGGGTGCCAGCCCCATATATCGAAGGTGGTGGGTTCAATCCCAAACCCAGCCAAACTGCAACAAAAAATAGCTGGGCATTGTAGCAAGTGCCTGTAGTCCCAGCTATTCAGGAGGCTGAGGCAAGAGAATCGCCTAAGCCCAAGAGCTAGAGGTTGCTGTCAGCTATGATCCCAGGGTGCACTATAGGGGTCAACAAAGTGAGATTGTTTCAACTAAAAAAACAACAACAACAACAAAAAAAACCTATGTAACATATTGCTTATCATCCCTTTTTCATTAAAAATTGTATTCCTGCACATTGTAATAGTAAATTTTGAGGTTTGTACCAGATCTGGGTGTGACAATTACAGGTAAATGAGTAGCAGACAGTTTGACATTAGAATTGAAGACAGCAGTCTAAATGTTGCTCCAAGTGTGACAGCGAAGTTACTAAAATATTTGTGCAAGATTGTTTCTCTTGGTGGTACTGAGAGATGTCATTCTTACCTTCATGACACTATTACATTTTCCTAACACTCTGTGAGTTACAGCAGTGTGTCTTCCAGATGTTAAAGTGGAAGTAGCTCAGTGATCTGCCAGGCCCACACCCAGGTGCTGAGTCCTGAGGCCAGCCCAACCTTCACCTGCCACTTCTCCTGGCTCCACATCCCTGGTTACCCAGCTCAGCCCCTAGGTGTCTGCAGCTTGGTGCCCTCCACAGAAGGAGGAGAAGAAGCTGCTGCTATGCTCACCTATGTTGTTTTTGGAGCCTCACTGCCCAGCAGTTAGGATTAATTAGTGGGGTTCACTAATCCTTAGATTTCTGGATGTACTTTTATCTGAAGCCTGGTACGTCTCAGAAGCCGAGATGTCACACTCAACCTGCTCTGTCCAGTCATGATAATCACATGTGGTCTGTGTATATCCCATGCTTTGTAGTGTATTTGGAGAGTAATGTAACTAAAATATTAAGGTTTCCTCCTGGGGACACCCTAATTTTTGCTCAGTATATGATTTCTGGAAGATACATAGGCATCCACCCAGCAGTGAGTGAAGCGTCTATCAGTAGAAACTTTTTGCTCTCAGCCATCTGCTCACTTTTTGGGCACTGTCTCTCCCACCCTTGGACCTGAGGAGAGATAATGATACGGAGTAGAATGTTCCCTTTTGACGCCAAAAAAGTGTGGTTCAGACCAGTTACATCCCTGAGGGTAGATTAAGAGCCCTCAGAGCTGCACTTTAATGTGAGGGCAACTGGCCACATGCTGTTCTGAATAGAGCTGTGCTCTACACTTAACACATGGAATGAATTTAAAAGATACATAAACAAAGTAATTCATTAGTATCTTTTTATTGATTAGTTATAAAAACAATAATATTTTGGATAGATTAGGTTTATTAAACAATAACAATCAATTTAACCTATTTTTTTCTTTTATATGGCTACCAGAAAATTTGAAGCAACACAGGCGGCTCTCCTTTTATTCCTGGTGGACAGGCTGAAGTAGAGGACTGCCTTCCCTTTCAAAGCTCAGGCTGCCCCTCAAAAGACCAGAGTTCAGGAAAATTAAAAAAAATCCCAAACTTTAAAGTAATTGTTGGTTTTCACAAGATGGTGCCAAAGGTGAAGAAGGAAGCTCCTGCCCTTCCCAAGGCAAAATCCAAAGTAAAGGCATGGAAGGCCAAGAAGGCAGTGCTGAAAGGCAACCACAGCCACAGAAAAATGAATATTCCTACATCATCCACATTTCAGTGCCTGAAGACATTGGCCACTCCAGAGGAAGCCCAAATATCCCAGGAAGAGCTCCCCCAGGGGAGACAAGCTTGACCACTGTGCCATCATCCACTTCTTCCTGACCACTGAGTCTGCCATGAAGAAGAGAGAAGAAAACACCACACTTGTGTTCACTGTGGATGTCAAAGCCAACAAGGACCAGGTCAAACAGGCTGTGGAGAACCTCTATAACATTGCTGTGGTCAAGGTCAAACCCTGACCAGGCCTGATGGAGAGAAGAAGCCATATGTTCCATTGGCTCCTGATTATGAAACTGTGGATGTTGCCCACAAAATTGGGATCTTCCCAACCAAGTCTAGCTGGCTAATTCTAAATGTAAGGTGGATGTAAAGTTCATGTGCAATTTAAATAGTAAAGTATTTTATTTATTTATTTATTTTTATTAAATCATAGTTACTACTATGATTATTAAATCATACATTACTATTAAATCATACATTACTACTATCATGGGGTACAGTGTGTTGTTTCCATATACAATTTGAAACATTCTCATCCAACATAGCCTTCATGTCATTCTCACAGTCCTTGTGTTAAGACATTTATATTCCACATTTAGAGAGATTCACATGTACCCTTATAGGATAGATCATAGGCGTGATCCCAACAATACCCCTCCCTTCACCCATCCTCCCCCCTCCCCTCCCCTCCCTCTTTCCTTTCCCCGTATTCTTGGGCTTAACTTGGGTTATAGCTTTCCTATGGTGGCTAACTATCAGTTTTATAGTAGGGTTGAGTACATCGGATACTTTTTCTTCCATTCTTGAGATACTTTGCTAAGAAGAATATTTTCCAGCTCCATCCATGTAAACATGAAGGAAGTAAAGTCTCCATCTTTCTTTATGTCTGCATAGCATTCCATGGTGCACATATACCACAATCTATTGATCCATTCATGGGTTGATTGCAAACTAATATGGGCTTCTTCCATGTCCTAGCAATTATGAATTGGAATGCAATGAACATTCTGGTACAAATATCTGTATTGTAGCATGATTTTTGATCTTCTCGATATAAACCTAGCCGAGGAATTATAGAATCAAATGGTAGATCTATTTTTAGTTCTCTAAGTGTTCTCCAGATGACTTTCCAAAAGGGGCATGTTAGTTTTCAATCCCACCAGCAGTGTAGAAGTGTTCCCTTTTCTCTACAACCCCACCAGCATCTGTAATTTTGGGATTTTGTGATATGGGCTAATCTTACTGGTGTTAGATGATATCTCAAAGTGGTTTGATTTGCATTTCTCTGATGATTAA